TCCGAGCAAACCATACAAATAACTCAACAGAAGAGGTTGAGCCAGCCAAGACAAATGGTGGTGTCACAGAAAAGAAATGCCATAGTCGTACAAGTCCTGTTATGCATTCTGAGCCTGTGAATGGTGTCCCAAAAATGGTTGATGATTTCATCAACAAACCCCAGATTGTTCAAAATGTTACTTCACCTTGGGTCTCTGACTACAAGCAAAGCTCTCCGACAAAGGTTGAACCAATTGCAACTAATGGTAGCGTCACCACACCAGCTAATTATCCAAAAATCAATGAGTTCTTCAACACAGTTCAAACTGAAGCTAGCAGACCTAGGTTGGGGCCTTTAGGTGCTACATATGGTTATGGTGGTGACTTGGCCAACAAGGCAGGACAACCTAGAAATGAAGCAGTTATGATCTCTAGTGGGGGATGGTCTAGGCCAAGAAGTCACGTAACATGGGCATCACCACCAGAGGGCTCTTCCCCTAATCCAACAAATGGTATCAACACAGCCATAGAGTACCCAATGAAAATTGAAAAACCTTCACCCGTGATTAATACCCCTCCTGGTTCACAAGTTGCGACACCGTCACACCGGTCTCGACAGGATGGAGAACAGATGGTGATGTCTCGGCAATTGATGGCAGAGAAGCTGCAAGGAGATATGCCAACTTCAACTTCTCATCTATGTACCCAAAAAATGAAGCTTACGGTGCCAACTTTAACTACTCACCCAGGTACCCAAAATATGAAGATTTCAGTGCCAACTTCAACTTCTCACCTAGGTATCCAAAAAATGAAGCTTACAGACCCACCATTGATAGCAGGGAGGCTGCGAGGAAATATGGCGGCACAACTGTGTGAAAGTAAGAAATTAACATATAGCGAGAACTTTAATTAGTGACGGGTTGTGCTATATTAAGTCAAGAACTAAAGTGCTTTTTAAGATAGTTAAGTCATACTCGTACTCTTTGTCTCAAGGGAGATGATTCAACTGGTTAAGAATATGATATTTCAAATTAAAAGTTTTAAGTTCGAATCTTGAATCAGATGAAAAAATATTTGAAAATAAGAGAGGATAACTTGTTAAATATACTAAAAAAAATGATTGCATGTTTTCTTTTCTTTTTTTGTTAACCCTATTAAGAAAAGCCAAATTTGGTATTGTAATATTGTAAGGATGTGCTAATAAATATTGCTCATAATTTTTGCTATAGTAAGCTTTTCTTATGGATCCTATGAAGCAATTGCATTATACATCAACTAATTATTTTTCTTTTTCTTTTGCCATGAAAGTTTTTGTTGTTGTCTTTTTCCTTTTTTCTTTTTTCTTTTTTGTTCTTTTTTTGCCATCTAAAGGCTTTCGCTCTTTCATTCATGATATACTAAATGAATATATTCAATAAATAGTTATTAAACTTTAGGAATAAATTCAAACAATGGTAATTCAATTAGTTTGTAATTAGCAACT